TGTCTTTGATCCCATCAAAAAAGTCATGAATGCGCCGACTCTTTGGGTTGACGCGTTGCTCTTGTTGCTCCCTCTGGTTCTGGCTGGTTGGTTAGCTATGCCTGCCTGCCGCTGTGGCGGTAGCGCCATCGACACTACAAAAATAAGCAACAACACCTTCAACAAGCAACCAACCGGACCCGCGGCGAGCACTGAGCTGCAGCAACAGCGCCAAAAAACGCGTTTATCTGTCTGTCGGTGCGCCGCCGTCGTCCAACAGCCGCCTGTCAAATTCAGAAGAAAAAGGTATTAAGATCATGCGATAAGATCAATGTTGCCACGGCGTGGAGCACCACTATTAACAGCTACAGTGAGAGCTGAGAAGGAAACAACAACAAATACAATAGCAAGTATCACGTAGCAAGCCTATAGGCACCAACGAAGGCAGCAGCAAGTCCCGAAAAATGGAAGTAAACAAGCCGACAGACGAGCAGTAATATGCTATACAAACCCCATAAACAAAAAAACAAGAAACAAAATTAAAATTTTAAGAATGGAAAATGAGAAAAGAATACCGAAGAATGGAGTATAAGATCAAACACAAAAACACTACGGGTATCCCTTCCTGTGCTACGTTCAGCACGCTCAATAAAATGCTATACAAGGTGTCAGATTTGTCGCCCTTCATTACCACTGCCGACAACAACAATAACAAACGGATAAAGATAACAATGCCCACAACTGGCATACAATCAGCAGCAGCGGCACAGCTAACAGAAAAAAATAAAAATAAAGAATACAAAAAATACGTGGTGGCTCTAAACCGCCATCAACAACAAAAAAATTCCACGGAATCGATACTGTTAAACGTATAGAAAGAACAACGTGTCGCCACATAGCCTTAGGCCAAGAAGGAAACGGCGGCGTTATCGCCGCCGCAACAAAAGTGTAGCCACCGCCAAGGTTGTTTGCGCCATTGACTGTTCGCGGTCGTCGACGAACGGCAAGGATTTGCGCTTAATCAGGCGTATACGATCGCGCGCGCCCATACACGCCATTGGAATGCATAAAAATTGGTCGTTGCTGGAATTCTTGTGGCGCAACGAAAAACAACGAAAGCCGCTTTGCCTTGCCACTCTCGGTTGACTTATTTGGCCTTTACAGTGGCGCGGCACGGCACGGCGCGGCGCGGCGCGGCGGTCGGCGATCACTGGTTGTTTTGTTGGCACCCACTTCTACGCTGTGACGTTCATTCTCGACTCAGCTCATTGCCAGATCAACGCCAGCGATCACAAATGACCTGCAGCGAATTGTGCGAATCGTGGTACGCCAGATAATTTGCTGGTAAAATATGCCACAACGACTACGCGCATACATAAAAATATAGGTGCATTGTTAAAAAAAAAAAAAAGGAACTAAAAATGCCGTGCTTCTCCGCCCAATTTCGCATTCTGAATGCGTTAACAACCCGTCGTTAGTTAGTTAGTACCAACCTCAATGCTGACCGGCAGTCAATCTCGCAACTAGACTAGCGCCCGACAAACCATTGCAGCCATTCAGTAGGCTGCCAGCCTAAAGGACCTCAAGCGCTGAAGGCAACGTCAGGGCTTGCATTTACCGGCGTTGTAAAGGTTGTTTAGTGGCGTGATTTGCAATCAGCGATAAGCCACGCTATATATGTACATATGTATGTATATATACATACATATATTGCGCCTGTACAAATGAGGGTATGTACATACGCTCAGTGGTGCCAGATGTGGGGATTTCGCCACATTTTGGGAACTTCTGAAACCATTTGGGGATAGATTTTTTCGTTTGGCGAAGTGGGCATTTTTGTTTGGTTTAAAATTTTTCTAACGAAGGTTTCTTTGCAAAACAGTAATTAAAACGAACTAACAAAAATGAGAATACGTATTTTTTTATTTCTCACTAGCAGACCTATTCTGCTTGTTACCGAACATTTTGACACCGGGAAATTTTGTTACCAAAAAATCAAGGAATGAAACCGAAACCCAAACCGAAACCGTAACCGTTTAAAACCGTTTCGTTTTTCAAAACCGAAACCGAAACCGTAACCGTTATCTTAACATGAAAAGGAACGATACCGAAACCATTTCAATCACAGGTTTTAATCGGTTTCCAGAAATTTACAAAAATAACAAATCAAAATTTCTTTGAAATAAATGATTTATTTAACCAAAATCAGCAATATTTTGCTAAAATTCTTGTTAAGTAGTAAATAAGTATGTCAAGGTAACTTTTCGCAAAAAGCTACTAAAATGGTGCCTAATAAATTAAGTCTCCGATCTGGCATCGGTTATTTGGAAGAAGTCATTTTGATTTTCATTTTCACGTGTATAGTTGTAAAGGACACAGAAATGAAGGGGTTTCATTATTATGTAGTAAATATATGACGAAAATAACAATTATATTTTAGTTTTCATACACCTTTAGTTTTACAGCAAAAAGGAAACATTTAATTGAATCTGGTGATGACGTTGTTGCTGTGTATCTGTGTAGTTTTCAGCGAAAACTGGTTTTCGTTTGACAGATTTTACATGGACGAAAACACAAGTTTTAGGTCGAAAACCAGTTTTAGCAACGAAAACATATTTCCGATGTCGGTCAGAACATGGTATAAGTGACAAAAACAAGAAAAACGTGAATCAGCTGTTTCTCGACTTGTGGGCACGAAATGTGGTTTTTGCGTTCCCGTACTTCTGGACTTCGTTCCATTTTTGAAAAAAAAAATGTTTCTCTTATTCTCTAATTACCAAATCCGGTCCGGATTGTTAGGGAAAGAACCTAGTGTTGATATTATCAGTGAACTGTAATTTTCAATTTTCTTTCCTCAACCTTTAAGACATTGTGATTTAAATAATATCAACAAAATTTCTGTGAAAAACCGAAACCGGAACGAAACCGAAACCAAAACCGAAATAAATTTTGAAGAACGAAACCAAAACCGAAACCGAAACACTTGGCAAAACCGAAACCCAAACCGGAACGTTATTTTGAATCGGTTTCATTCCTTGCAAAAAATTACCAAATTTCTTGTAACCGCAATTCTAGGTACGTGTTAATTTATTCAGCAATTCAGCTATGAAGTTTTGTAGAAATTCTGGTGTAGCATATTTCACAAGGCAATATTTTCTTATCTAATAACAAAATTTACCAGTTACAATAGTGCGCAGAATACGAAAAAAAAAAACGGTTTAAAAATTGACAGGAACTTTATTCACCGATAACAACATGTTTGTTAACAACACAGAATAGGCCTGTAAAAGGGATTTAAATGAGGATTAAAATAAGAGGATTTTTTGGGGATAACTGCGGCTCGGCTCGATATGGGGATGCGGTACAAAAATGTTCTGGCAACACTGCATACACTTACCAGCAGTCATTGCCTCCTTTTCGTCCATGCAAGTACTAAGTGTGCCGCACGATCAGCTATTTGCCTATCGGTGCAATTTACCCAACATCTCCGTCGAGGCACGTCTACCTAAGGAAGGAAGGCGGACAAGCATCATGACAACAACAGGCCTGTCCAGCCTGTCCAGCCTGCATGGCAGACGAAGTGGCAGACAAAGCGGCGAGCCAGCGATCGCTTGTATGGAATTTGAGTTAATACTATTATGTACATACATACAATACAATTGATATTGTTATTGTTGTTGTTGTTGGTATTGTTGCTCTTCGCATACAACGTCATTAAGTCTACGCTTGTGCGCTCATTCAATGAAGCATTTCCACGTACTGTACCGCTTCGGCTTCCTGCTGTTTCATTTAGTTTTGGGAGCCGCCGGGCCTCACGTAGCGCACCAAATTACAGACAATAACCACACTAATTTCCTTCACTTGTTTACCTGCTTTTATTCATTCACTTCCATCCTTTGGCAGCGAGCAGAGATGAGGTGCGCTGGTTAAACCGAAAACAAGAAAGTAATTGGTAGAATTCCTACTTATATACATACGCGCAAATGCATGCATAAATACATATGCACGTACATAGTTATATATATGTATTCATCAGCATAATTGCATTCCAGCCAATTTGTATGGCCTTTCTTAAGTACATACATACCTACATAGTTTGTATGTATTTGAGCGCAAATGTCTTCTATTGTTTGAGCTCTTTTCTTGATCACCGTGCTGTTGTTGTTTACTGTCAATATCGATCTACAATGCACAGACTTAACAGTGCCTGGTGGCCTCCGACGTGTTCTCACCTGCAGCGGCCTGTGTGTTATCTATCCTATTTGTATATATGTATGTATGCATATTTGCAGTCTGGCTTATCCGCTTCTATTCCAATGCACAGCTGTCCAATTGTTTCTGGTTGCCTTAATTCCTAGAGTTGCGACTGTTTCAAATGTACAAATATACATATGTATGTATATATATATATTTACTCACGCATTACTAAAGAAATAATATATGTACATATGTATATGCACATATGTACTTATGTATGTACGCATATTCATGAACGCTTAGTAATACAAATCTCTTTCTAAATGCCTACCACCACACCTACCTAGTATGTAGACGCACTAAGCGATAAATATTCGACTTAAGCCTCGAACGTGACGTGGGATTTTGATCACCATTGTATCGTCGAAAGGTTCTTTCATACACACTTGTCTACATACATACATATGTACATGAAGCATGCACAATGCCATATATCGATGCACCTACGCACGGACAAAACGATCCGGCTGGCTATCACCGGACACACGATTCCAGCGCTCGGGCATTATTTATCCGATTTGCGATTTGTGATTCATTCATTCATAAGTTTACCTTTTATGTTTATGTACAAGCAGCGGTCCTCAGACTCGTTACGCCAATTTTTATATGTATCTTCTTTTTTAATTTTATGGATTTCCCTTTGGTGTGTGAAGCCGAATTCCATTTAATTGCTGACAGTTTCTTAATTTGTCTAATCTTTTAATGCCTTTTGTTAATTCATCTGTCTCATATTTTAATTTTTTTTTCACCTTTGTTCATTGCAGATACGGACGTCTCTTTGGATGTGCCTGCCCCGGTTAATATTGAAGAGGAGGAGCGCAATATGAAGCGTAAGTATTATTTCCCTCGTAATTTTGTAATCTTTCTTTACTCGCGCTCAACGTCTTTGATAATTAATTAATAAGTGTTGCAATCCGCTTACTCTTTCCGAACAGATTTCGCAGCTCTACTCACCGGCAGGACATCACATTTCCTAAAAGGCGAGGAGATGAAGGCCATGTATGCGACTAGCACCTTCAATCCGCAAAATATTGTTGCCACAGGCCGCTTCTTATTCCACAAGAAGAATCTCTATTACTCGTTCTACACGTCGTCGAAAAATAATCGCCCGCGTACCATTCAATTTGTCAACGACGTTGGCACCATTCTCGAGGAGCATCAGCTGCAGACTCCACTCTCCGATACACAGAGCGTGTATCAGAATGCGACTGGTAAGATCTGTGGCGTTTGGCGTCGTGTTCCTCGTGACTATAAGCGTCTACTGCGCGACGAACGCTTACACGTTGTATTGCTGTGGGGCAAGAAGGATCAGATTGATCTGGCTCTCGGTGGTAAGATTGGCAAGTACACTGCTTTGCAAACGGAGTTATTCAGCTCATTGTTGGAGCCTTCACCGGGCACAAAGCCCGCTTTATTGAATGGCGCTGGCGGTACAGCTATAATCTCGACAAGCAGTGGCGCCGCCGCTTCCGTGCATTTGACCCTCGTCTTTAATGGTGTATTTGGGGCCGACGACTATTTGGATAGTCCGATCAATATACGCGTTGAGTCGCCCGATCGTAAGGAAATCGTGTTGGATGAAGTTCAAAAAGTACGCAAGCCTTCGTCTGAGATCAATGTAATGGAAATATCTTCACCCATTTCCATACCGATGTTGCGGTTGATGTCACGCGGCAAACTGCTACTCACAATCGAATCTAAGAAGAACCCTCACCTACGCATACAGGGTCACATTGTCACTCGCACAACATGCGAACTCTTCCAAACGTTGCTCACACCACACAATGCGGAGTCGAAGACGAAGAGCAGCGGCCTGGCCTGGGTCTTCCTCAACACCGATGGTTCTCTTTCGTACAACATCGAAACCGATAATATTAGCACTAAAGACAGACCCGAAATCAATCTTATGGAAGATTTGGGTAAACGCAGAACGATGCTGGAGAACCTTACACCAACGTTCAACTTTAACCAAGCCATAGGCACCATCGACAAATTGGGTCCGAAAGCACTTGAATCTCTATATACTGGCGATCTGGGCGTCAACATAGCCATCGAGAACGAGCCAAGTCTCATTCGCGGCCACTTTGTACCACGTCCCGTTGCCGACGCTCGGGACTCTGCCGAACCAATCCTACTGAAACGTGTTGAAAATTCTACAACTGCCCCAGTTCACGCCATGGGCATGGCTTGGTTGGCCATCGATAACGAATGTAACCTGCACTACGAACTCACTGTGAATGGTTTTCAATCAAATCCTCAGGATTTGCAAATATACCTCGAAGAAAAGCCAATCGAGGCTATTGGAGCACCGGTGACACGCAAACTACTTGAGGAGTTCTCCGGCTCCTACATGGAAGGTTACGTACTCGGCATGCCCTCCAGCGACCTCGTCAAATTGGAGAACAGTGTATGTTACCTGGAAATCCATTCGAAGGAGAAGAGTGAGCTCATGTTGCGCGGCAAGTTGAAATCTACGAAGGTACCATCGCACTGTTTTCCCGTCCACACGGATAACAATGTACCGAATGTGCCTGGTGACCACAGCGACAGCAATCTGATTGCACCGGGCGCTAAGTGTTTCCATTCCGGTCGCTTTTATGATGAGTCCGAGCAATGGCGTAACGCGAATGATGTTTGCCAAATGTGCGCCTGTCAGCGCGGTCAGCCCACCTGCGAACCCATCAAATGTCCAGCTGTGCAGTGCAAACCCAACGAAGAATTGGTGCGACGAGAGGGCGAATGTTGTTCAATGTGCATACCGCAAAATGTAGTCATTGAAACGGAGAAAACGGTAGAACAGACCGCACGCGGCTGTCGTTTGGGAGACCAATTCCACCTGGCCGGCGCCATTTGGCATCCGTTCTTGCCACCAAACGGCTTTGACACATGCACCACCTGCACTTGCGATGTGCTGACACTGGAGGTGCGTTGTCCACGCATGGTGTGCCCGCCTCTACCCTGCTCCGAGAAGATCGCCTACCGTCCGGACAAGAAGGCTTGTTGCAAGGTGTGTCCTGAAAGCAAATCCTCGCGTAGTGGCGAAAAGGCCGGACCCTCCTACCCCAACGTACTGCAAGATCAAGGATCGCATAAGACAACATCTCCGGAGGAGATCCTAAGTCAAGGCGGCTGCAAGGTATTAAATAAGATATACGAAAATGGACAGGAATGGCATCCGATTTTGGCATCACATGGAGAGCAGAAGTGCATCAAATGTCGCTGCAAGGTAAGTCTGCGTGTACACCACACAACAAGAAGATGGTATCTTATTAACACATTATTAATTTTCCTCTCGTTTCATAGGACTCTAAAGTGAATTGCGATCGAAAGCGTTGCTCACGCTCCACCTGCCAGCAGACGCGTATCTCGGCAAAGCGGAAATTCTATGAGAAACCCGGCATTGGTGGAGGGAATGAGCCGGTCATCGACGAGTGCTGCTCAACGCAGTGTAGACGCTCGCGCCGCCACCACAGACGCACACACCAGGAGCGCCCTAGTGCCGCCGACGATCGGCAACAGCAGTCGAAACGGGTGCAACAGCAAGCGAATCTTAACCGCAGCGGCAGCAACAACCATAGCAGCTGAGCGCCAAAGTCAGGTCGTCGCAATCATTCAGAACACACATACACACATAATATCGCCCGAATATCACAGAAGATAAAAGAATAACAAAATCGCAATTTTCTTCTAAAGAAAATGCGCGCCCTTTGTAACTTTCTTGAAACCAGGACTGAAAATGAATGAGGCGAACGAAGCGTTGAAAACAATGGAGAGTAGCACTGACAAAAAATTACATAAATAAGAAATATGTACATATATACATATATGAGTATGTATGCAATAAAAGGGATCGGATATTTGCCAACAAAGCCGCCAGCAAAATGACATATGTAGATACATATTTACTTAAAAAAAACGAAAGCAACTTTTTGTATTTTAACAACATTATCCACAGATAGCAGATAAAACAGAAATGCAGTTGGAAGAGCGAATAGTGCGCCAGTTGTATGGAATATAGTCCATGTAGAGAGAGTATGGCTAGTAACTATTTTAGAGATGTGCTAGCGGAAGCTATTTAAAAAATATTTATGAATTACCTTAAGGACACCAGTGCAGTTGCTTCAAAATTGTATAAAACGTTTAATTTTAACAAAAGGATTTAATTTCCAAAATGCCGTCGCATCCAGTTGCTGAGCTGAGAGTGGAATTCTCTGGAAATACATTGTTCTAGTAGAATGATAATAGACGATTGCTGACTGAGAATTGTAAGCAAATATTAAGGCAACGAGTTTGCGGCAAAAAGTGCGATAGAGGGTGGCAGAGAGAGACAGTGCAAAAATGAGAAACACATCCCAAACGTTTCGACTGATTGACTGAATGGCATAGACTAAGTAAAATAAACTTACAAAAATGCTAAAAAAAAAACAAAAACAATGAAATATACATACATATATATATTTGTTTTTATATACATTAAATTAAATATATATATACTGATGCGAGGACATGCACACATGCATACATACATACGTATTTACTATGTATATACATACATACAGACATACATACATATATATTTTATGAAAACCACCACTGCTACGTCCCCAAAAAGTTGTCCCATCGGCAGTGTAAACGTTTCTTCATTAATATCGATGATCAATCGAGATCATAAATCTTTCTGTAACTAGTATTTTCAATGCGCAGGCGCTTGGAATTGAGACCACTTCGACCCTGCGCGAAAGCGAATGCAATTCTGTTCGTAACACGCCGTTTTTGGGAGAGACGTGGACAAGTGGCTGGCGTTCTCTGGCAGAAGGCAGCTGTTGAGCAACTTCATTGAGCAAGAGATATGTATATGTGCATACATATGTACATGCATATCGTTAGTATATGTAGTATGAAAAGAGCGAATCTCACATCGTCGCTGAAATGGTAATTAGAGGGCTGCATGAATTCATTCAAAACGGCTTGTGAACTATTCATATATGAAACGAACGAGTGAATACCTGTTTTGGTATATGAGTCGATATTACAATATAAAATGAACTGAATTGAAATAAATAACAATTTCTTGCATGAATATCCAAAAATATTTTTTTTATGTACACATCAGTGTACTGCAGCAAGCTACTTGAGAGCTTACTTATATTCACTGGGCTTGGTTCTAAACAAGCAAGTCAATGCTTGGCTTTTGTGTTTTATATGTCGTTACTACACACGAATAAAGGCGCGATAGTATTTTGACGGCGAAAAAAGGCGCGTAAAAAAAATTTTCGAAAAAAGATGCCTCTGAAAAACTTCGGCGAAGTATGTTAAGAGTTTTTGACGCTAAATTTTTTTTATACGTCTTTTTTCACCGTCAACTTTCGAGCTCGCGCCTTTATTCGTGTCTAGTGACAATATGAAGTAAAATATTCAAATATATTTACTGCACTCTGTTTGGCTAGATGTTTGGATGAATCAATCAAAAGGTTAATTTTGGATTCGTAGATAATGTGAGTTACGCCATTTCAATACTGTACTAACGATATGTACATATGTACATATATATGTATGTACATTTGGCATATACATATGTTCTTACATTAGAAAGGCTGGTTTTTACTATGTCATATTTTGCCGCCAAAATTTGTTGTCATATCTTGGCACAAACTTATCTCCTTCATCCCATACCTTTACTGATGATATTATTGGCCAAAAACAGACTGATAGCCGATTTAGCTACGGACGACTAAAGACCTATGTATACTGATGGAAATCAATCGATATACCGCATCTTAGTCCCATTTGGAAATGTGTTTTCCACTTATTTGACGACAAATGCCATTGAATTTGACATAGTGAAAACAAGCCTTAACACATCCATACATGCATATATACATACAAGCGCACACGCACACAAATCCACACACACGCACACACACGCAAACACATGCATAAGTTCCCTCATTATATTTGATTATTATAATTATTATTATTTACTCGTACAACTGACGACTTGCGCATTTTCACCATATAACTGTATTAATATTTTATTAGTTATTATAATTGTTACGATTATTGACATCATAATTGTATATTTTAATTTTTTAATTTTTATTTTTTATTTAAATAAATTTTGTGTTAATTGTAAAAGTGAAACAAAGAAAAAAGAGCAACTGCAAAGTTTTACCTAAAATTAATTATATACATACATATAGTTGTTTTGTCTTAGGTTATAGACTTTTATTATTATTATAATTTCTGGTTAACTTTTTTGTATCATAAAAACAATTGCACTTGCTTAGAAAAAAAATAAATTTTGTATTGTAAAAAAAAAAAAAATGTGAAACTATTTTTTTTTTATGCTGATTGAACATTTTCCTTCCTTTGCCTACGCCAAAGTTACGTAGAAAGTTTTCATTCGCCTCTGGAAATTAAAGTGGTTGATTAGCCGTTTCTATTTAACTAATAAGCGGTATGTATATTCAGCTATAGAAAATATTTCAATTAGTAATTTGTTTAAATCGCTTTTTATATTTAGTATATTTTGGAAAAACTAACCTTAGAAAAATATTACATTCAATGAACTAAAAAAAAAACAAAAAACAACTCAACTCGTTTATACACTTGAATTTGTTAGTTACATGGTTTTCCTCGTCTAGCTATCTCAAAATTAACAACACCTATGTATATATACATATATGCATAAATGCTGCAAATGTTTTTCTACTATCGAATTGTATTATAATTTGAGAATATTATTAGTTCCAAGTGAAAAATCGATTATGCAGACCTCTTAATATTATTTATTTACAAAGTGCCTATACATACACTACACACTACAATATATTGAAGAAAAACTAACAAATATACACACTATATTGAAAAAGAAAATAAAAACAAAAACAATACAGAAAAATAAAAATTTTGAAACAAAACGAACAAACCTTAAAAATCCAACCACAATGGTTTTTTTCTTCAAGTAACAAAGGGATTTTAGTATCAGTCGCTTAGTCCGCATGGTTAGAGGTGTTTTTGTTAAGTTAAGTGGAACTAGTGATCGAACGATACGAGTACCAAGTACGGCATGTGGATTATTTTCTTGAGTACTGAGTATTATCGAGAAGTCGATAGTTTTTAACTGTACTGAGTACTGAGTAAGTATGGCAAATACCGAAGAGTATCGACGGGTAAAAGATTTTCATATTCAGTTTTACACAACACTAATAAATTTTAGTGGTAAATTATAAAAATGGAAACAAAAAAAGGTTAAAAAATTACTTACTTGTCGTCACCTTCAATGGAAAAGACTTCAATTGAAATTTTATAGAAGAAGCAACAAACTTTTTTAAATTAACAGGATTTGCTTACTGGGCTGTTCTAAACATGCCAATAAATGTCGTACTTTTTAAGTTATGGCTACAAATTTTTTTTATGTAAAATAATATGTAATATGTAAAAATCGCATTTTTTTTAAAGAGTGGAATGGTCTTTTCTATTGATGGTGACGATGGTGAAATTATCACGATTGAGAGAATACAAAGGTTGCTCCGATCTCGGACCGCTATTCCTCGCTTTGACGAATTTGACAGAATCGTTGTTTGCATGACGTCACACTGGTGCAACTTGTTTACATTTTCCTTGCAACATTTTTTCTTCTTCTTCCATTCTTGCTCACGTTTTGGCATTTCTCTCTCGCAATTGCACCAGTGTGACGTCACACAAAAGTTATTCTCAAAAATCCTCTCTGATCGGCGCAATCTTGTATTCTATCATTCTTGTGAAATTATAAATTTAAATATATCCATTGAGTTTGTATCCTTGGCCGGGGTACTTCTCCTATTTTGTGGCGTGCGTCTTGAAGTTCTCTTTGAAATTAAAGGAAATACGATTCTGGTTACTTAAACCTCAGATTAGCGAAGGCAGACAGGCTGAGAAAAAGAGACTGAGATCTGGCCAGTTATACGCCTGTCAGAGGAAATACCTTTGCGCATGCCTTGCCTAGTAAATTTATGGAAGAACCCCGAGTCGACTGAGAGAGACCAGTTTCGTTCACGCGGTAAAAATTGCTGAATTCTGACGGCGGCCACCAATGTAAATATTAAATGTTTTCAATTAATATTAGACTAGTAGGTAAAAAGCCGACTGCTTTATTTGTCGCGTCAATATCAGCAAAAACGCGCTGCAGAAATCAGAGAGCTGAAACTTGAGGTTTTCGGATAGTTCCTAACAGAAAACGCCTGCTTCAACTCTTTCGCCCAACCTCAGATTCCTCTCTGCCTCTCACTACTCGAAGAGAAGTGGGTAGAGAAGGTTGCCATCGGAGCCAGCCTCAGTATGCACCAATCAGTTTCATCAGGAATGAATGCGAGGTTTCAAAAGATCGTTGATCACCCGTCCCTCGGGTTAAATGAAAACCCAGAGCTAGCTCTTAGCTTGACGGCGGATCGGTTTACGGTGGCCTTGCTTGCAATGTTAATAGGTACGAGTAGGATTGATCCGAAGTTCCCCACTGATTCAAACAAGGGCATTCGGAGCGCCTTGCGCGCGTTCTAACTTCTTAACTAATGTATAATAAGCCTAGCGAATTCAACCGTACATCAAAATTGGCTTGAGTTTTGTTTCATACAGCCAGAAGAATATGCCTTTTTCACTCGCTCTTTAAAATTTAACTATCAGGATAGCTTCCTATCCAGCATACCGCCCAAGTACTTGACCCTGTCAGAAAGTACTAGAACGCCACCGATCGAGGTAAGCTCAGCACGGACCCCCTATACGTTCTGGTGAATAGGACGAGCTTCGTCTTACCAAGATTAATAACAAGTCCACAATCTAGTTTGTGAATTGATAAGGTAAGCTCAAACCCAGAGAATAAGTTTCAGAAGTTCATTACTAAATACTTATACATAGTCCTGATTCCATACCACTTGTGAATCTGTCAATAGTACTCGTATATGGTGTGTTTCCCTGGTTTCGGACCTGTCATTCGTGAGACTTTACAGTTAAATAAATAATACGAAAACGAACGTTACTCATAAAAAAATGCCGTTGTGTAGCTTTTATACTGTCCTTTGGATGACCAAAAAATTAGGTGCGCTTGGATTACTGTTGTTGAGAAAATCGATGAAAAGGAGGTCATAACAAATCTGACAAAACCGAAGTGGTTTCAGAGTACCTGTAAAAATAAGCAAAACTCTGTGAATCCTGTGAGGTTTTCCTTTCTTAAACATTATTTAAATAAAGTAAAATTACGGACCATTACAACCTATTCATATTTAATAAGAAGCAATTTTGAAATTAAAATGCGACAACAGACGTGGCATATCGGACGAGACAGATTTCTCCCCCATACAGTATATTCACCAATAATACATATCGTCGTTTAAAGTACAAAACCGCGTATCGTGGTCCTCCCAAACCTCTTTACCGACAGTTGTGCCAAA